TTTCTGTCCCCCACTCACTCCTCCCCAGAAGGAGGAATAACTTATCTGACAGGCATCTGTGGCGCAGCCTCTTCAAGAGTCCCTGCTTTCTCAAAGCCACCTGCCTGCAGAGAGGGCACTTTCCAGTCTGTTATTCACAATGCTCACAACCTTAGCAGGCAGGCCTGTCCCTGCACACACAGCCTCTGGATCCTGCACTGCCTTAATATGCAATCATCGGACATTGTGATCTCCACCTGTTTAGGGGCTATCTCCTGAGTCTTATTCTTCTTAAACTGGATCCAAACTTGGGAGAGAAAGCAAAGGCTGCAGATTTCGATTCCGTAGACCCCCACCACTGCTCTGTGCTCTCCCCCTCTCTAGCACAGCATCTACGTGGAGGCCCTCCCACGCCTCTGGGCTGGCCACAGTACACCACAATCAAGAACCACCTTATGTCCAACGGGTGCTGTGGCAGCACCCCCAACTAACAGGCCCACAATGGTCATGGCACTCTGAGTTACATTCTCTTTTTTTTTCCTTTGCTTCATTAACCTGACAGGCAACCACTGAGTTCTGTATTTTTATCGTTATTTTTCTACATACTATTATTTGACTTCACAGGTGTTTATGTCCTATTTCTCCTACTGGATCACAAACTCCCCAAGGGCAGGGGTCCAGCACAGTGCCTGGCACACAGGAACAGCACCAGCCTTGTTTAGAATGTGAGGTCAGGGAGGGGAAAGGCTGGGCTGGATCAGCAGCTCGAAGGCTTGCTGTGGCCTGACCAATGGAAAGATGGGGAGGGGGCATGCACTCACGCGATCTGGAGGGCTCGGGTGCCCAGCACACGGGCTCGCTCATACTTGGTCATGTACGGTGTGGTGATTCGCTTCTGGTTGGCCTGCGGTCGCTCTCCAGAGGGGAGGATCTCAACGTTCTCCTGGCCCTCCTGGACACCAAGAAAGAAAAAAGAGAAGATCTCAGGGTGCATTTTTTGAGGTGATGGGAAGGATAATGATGACAATGATTATAACCATCAGAAGCAGAGTGCCTGGAGATGGCACAGTCCCAACAAGTCCTCGAGCCCAGACAACAAATCACCCTAAGCAGGAAGCAAGAAGCAAGCACCCCATCTTCCATCTTCAGACAGCGTAACTGAGTCAATGGGTCAAGTGGCTCAAAAGTCAAAGTGAAGCCAGGAATATACAAACACACACATACACATATTCATATATTTAACAATTACTTATTAAACATCTGCCATGTGCCAGACATCATAACAGGTGCTGAGACAGAAAGCTAAGAGTTTCTGCTCTCAAAAAACTCACGTCTAGAGAGGAGACAAGAGTAAACAAAACAGCAGGTGGAAGGAAGGTGTGCAAGTGTGCAACACAGTTACTAAGAAGGGGGGCATCTAACTCATACTGGGGGATAAGAAGATAGTCCAGAGATGAGACTTGAGCTCATCTAGAAGGATGAGCAGGAGCTGCCAAGCCAACAAGGAAGGGAAGGGCATTCCAGGCAAGCTGCATTGCATGTGCAAAGGCACATGGATGGGAGAGAACATACTAGGTTTGGACAACTAATTGTGGAGTATGATTAGAGCAAAAGGTGTATATAGGGTTTTAAGCAGGAGAACAAATTCTATAATAAAGGAATTAAGTCAACAAATATTTATTGAGTGTTTACTATATGTCAGATAGTGTTCTAAGTGCTCGGGATAGAGCAGTGAGTAAGACAGATAAAAATTCTTCCCCTACAGAGCTTACATTATAATAAGATGAGATAAACAATAAACAAAATTAATAAACAAAATATGTAGTATAAAAACAGAGAAAAAATGACAGGGAGTGCCAGGGTGGTGATGTGGGGGGAGGTGGAGAACAAGGTAATTTTCAATAGGATGGTCATGGAAGGCCTCAGTGAGGTAACACTTGGACAGAGACCTGAAGGAGGTGAGGAGTAGGTGGTGTGCCTATCTAAGGGAAAAGTGTTCCTGGAAGAGGGAACAGCGTGATCAAAGGTCCTGAGCAGGGGTCTGCTGGGCATGGCAGGACAGCAAGAGATAAGGTCACAGAAGAAGCAGGTGGCCAGATCATGGAGGATCTAGTACATCTTTTCGGCATTTACTCTGAATGAGATGGAAAGCCAGTGGATGAGGGTTCTAAGCAAAGGGGAGACACAGTTTGACTTAAGATTTAAAAGGATCACCCTGGATACTCTGTTGAGAATATTCTGTAGGGGGCAAGGGCAGAAGCAGAGAGACCATTTAGGGAGACCAACAGTAGTTGATTGTGTACGCATGTAAGAAAGATGACTCTGGCAGCAGGAAGGCAAACCCAGCAGACTGAAGGCACGAAAACTAGTAACACAATCTCTGCATTAATGCGGGTAAAGAGCAATGAACATCTAAACCAGACTAAGGCACTAGAAATGGAGAAATGGAACCGGGCTGAACCACATGTAGGAGGCAGAATCAACAGGACAGGGATGGAAGGGACCAGACGGATGGAGAAGGAGGTTTGTGACTCAGTGAATAGGGACCTGAGAGTGCCATGCAGAGAGAGGAAATCCAAAAAGAGGGCTTCAGCTTCCTAGCCTAAAAAATATCCAGGGATCACTCTCTCTCCAGGAGACATAAAGCACGTCTTCCTCTATCAGTCACACAGGACAGAAAGCCTTATTTTATTCATGAAGCTGGTAACCCATCCACCTAGTTGCTCAAGCCAGAAAGCCAGGAGTCCTCCTCGTCATCTCCCACTTTCTCAGCCCCACATCCAATCCACCAAAATATCTTTCATCTATTTTCTCGTCACTGACACTACTAGCATCCGAGTCCAAGGTACAGGTCTCTCACCTGGAGGGCTGAGAGTCCCCTAACTGGTCTCTCTCTAACTCTTGCTCCTCCCCAAGTCACTCCTCACTCTGAGGCCAGAATGTTCTTTCTGAAGTGTAAACTGGGTCAAGCCACTCCCCGACTCAAAACTGGTCAGTGGCTTCCTGCTACCTTTATGTTACAAAAACCTGCCTAATCTGTACCTTTACCTGTCCAGCTTTATCCCAGGTCACTCTCCCCCTTGCTCCTTATGTTAGCCCCACCCTGCAGAGCACCTGGCACATAATAAACATTTAGCAACTGTTTGCTGAATGAATGAAGGCGATATTTCACCCGGCAGTGAACTGACTGCCCCAGAAGCCACAGGCTGTGGTCCAAGTGGACAAAAGCCTTCAGGACCACCTGAAGGGCTTCTCCACTACCCAGGACCGGAACTCCGCTCTCTCTAAGTGGGGTGGTTGTGGCAGGGGCTGTGATCATAAACAGGAGACAGATGCATTCAGGTAATCATCACCGCTGGACTATCCGGCAGCTTGGGCTGCAGAGCAGGGAGCCCACGGCCAAGTACCGACCTCCTCGGCCTTCTCCAAGTCATCCAGCCCTTCATCCTCCTCCACATCATCAAAGTCATCGCCATCAAAACTGTACGAGAAGAAGAGGCCAGTCAGTTAGAGCATCACTTGCTAGATTCCAAGAAGGCAGGGATCTGTGCCTCATCCCGTCTGTAGGAGGCGCTCAATAAATATCTACTTGATGAGCGAATCAAACTTCTGTTCCATTTACTCCTTCAACCTTACCCCATCAGCCCCTAAATTTTGCTAGGATTCAGGCATCACCACTGTTTCTCTCTCTGCGGGATCATTCCCGTCGGCATGCAAACATGTAGTTATTTCCCCATCTTAAAAAACAAACAAACAAAACTCATTTCTCTAGTCCCTCCCCACCGAGCCCTGTTCCCACGCTCCCCTTGGGAGCAAAATTCATGCGAGAGTAGTCCATCTCCGAGGTTTCCAATTCTTCTCTTCCCATTCTGTCATAATCTCACTCCAAGAAGATGTTCACCCCCACGGCTCCATCAAAAACACTCCTTTCAAGTTCGTTCATGATTCCCACCTCGCTACATCCAATGTACTATTCTTGTTCTCATCCGGCTTGATCTGTCAGTTGGCACACAAGATCCTCCCTCTCACTCAGTACATTCTCCTCACCTGACTGCAAGGACACCTCACTCTCTTCGTGTTCCCCCACCTCCCTGGTTGCTCCTTCTCAGCCTCCTCTTCCGGTTTCTCCTCTTTCCCCCCAAACACTCCACGCTGGAATGCTCTGACGCTCAGTCATCTCCTCTCCTCTACTGACTCTCCCCTGATCTCACCTGTAGCTTCCTTTTCACTAATATGCTGACGACTGCCCTATTTTTATCTCCTCCGACCCCCCACACGTCAGGAAATCTTTTTGGCTGTGGCTTCAAAATACATCCAGAATTCAAAACCACTTCTCACTTCCCTGCTACTATGGCCCTAGTACAAGCCACTGCCTTCTCCCACGCGGATCACCGCAAGCCTCCCGGACCCTCCTCTGGATTACTTCTATACTACATACTTCTACGACGTAATCTCACGCGACCCCGTATTATCTGTTTATGGGCCTGTCCCCTCTGCCAGAAAGGAGCACCTGGAGAGCCGGGACTACGCCTAATCCACCCCAACATTTCCATTACAAGACACGGAGGCCGGCTCGGGGGAAGTCTGCTGAAAGACATCTCTCTCACTGATCCTCTCTGGTCCTCGAGCTTGGGCCTTTCTGTGCCCAGCCTCTGGCCAGGTCTGTGCTCCAGGCTCCCCGCCCTTCCCTCCTCCAGTTCCGCGGGCCCTCAGAGCCCCCAGGCCCCTCAGACACTGCCCCTCGACCTGGCTCCTCAGCCTCCTCGGACCCAGGCCCTCGCCTCACCCGCCCCTTCCGAGATGCCGCAAAGGCCACTTCGCTCCAACACTCACTTGTCCTCGTTGTCTGACATGCTTCCCGCGCCGCGGGGACCGGGCTCTGCGCCCCAGGCCCGCACGGAGCCCCGCGAAGAGCACGCCTCCGACTCGCGCGGCGCCACGCGTACTCTGCGCCTGCGCCGTGACCCAGAGGCAATCACTTCCGGGAGGCAGGCCAGAGTGTATGTGCGCATGTGCTGAGAGGCGCGTGCTTGTTACCATGGTAGCCGGAGCCTCTAGCTGCCGGCTCCAGGCGCAGAAATCTCAAAGTATTTCTCCCGGGTGGTTCCGCGGAAGAGCGGTGGTTACGGTCTCCGGAGCCCGCGCCGCTGTCTGTGGGGACAGGGGCACCCCGCCGGGGTCTTACTTTAGAGTGAGGATTCAGTTTTGACGTACCACACAACGGGCTCTATCGTGATCACCGCTACCCTAACGCCCCGAGGGGGCTTCCCTGCCACGGGCGCCGGGTCAGGATGAGATCTCTGTTCGTGTGTGTGCATCTGCCTGTGTATCTGTTCGGGGTAGGAGGATCGGGGACTGCCGCAATGCTGACGCCCGGCGTCAGGATTCTCTTGCTGCCCGACCCCGCTCCTAGACTTGGGGTGGTGCTGAGGGGTGCGGGAGCAGAGATTGGACCTGAGAGACATGGGTGTGTCATTGCAGTTTTCCTCCTCAGGGTACTCCTATGGCTTCCCAGGAGAGGGAGGAGGCAGTGACCAAAGGAACGGGGTTCTGGCGCTGCCCTAAGCCGGCCACTTACACCCCGGGGACCTGTGAGCTGCTCAGAGGTCAGTGCGTTAAAGGACACGAGAAGAGGAGCAATGGTAACGATTACCCTGTGGAACTCAGTTCTCTCCTACATGACCTGTGGCTCAGCGATTGCTATTTTCATTTTACAGATAAGCAGCCTGGGGTTCAGAAATGTTCCGGGATCCTACAACTTACAAGTGGCCAAAAGTCAAAGAACTAAGAATTTTAGAGTGGTTAACTCCTGTGCATCCCTTAGATCACACTTTCAATTTCCCCACGGACGCCTTATTTCCTCCCGACCCACCACCACCGCAGTGCAGCCAACTGTTATGTGCCCTTACGCTACCAAATACCTTTTCCTTCACTGGACTTGGCACAACCTGTAATCAGATATTTAGTGTGTCCCATTGGATTAATATCCATCTACCACTCTAACTCATAAACTCCATCAGGGATGGGATTGTGTCTGTTTTGGCTCACAATTGTAGCTCCAGCCCCTGGCACATGCTTAATGAATACTTGTTCATTTATTCATTCATTCACTCAACAAAAAAATTTTAAAAGCCCACTGTGTGCTTTAGACATTGTCCTAGGTGCTGAGGATACAGCAGTAAAAAAAGAAAAGAAAACAGCAACAATTCTTGCTCTGATGGAGCTAATATTCTAGTAAGAAGGTAACAAATGATAAATAAGTAAAATATACAGACCTTAGATGGGGATAAGTGCTATAGTGCAAAATGAAGCAGGAAAGGGAGAGAGGGAGTACTCAGGCGCAAAATGGGGGTAAGAGGTGACACTTTTAAATTTCAATAGAGTGAGATGAGGGTGTCTGTCTGCAGCCCAGGAGGCCTCATAGAATGCTTTGTCTTGCAGTGATGATGAAGAAATCCAAACTGACTAGCTTCCAACAGCGCCACATCATGGACACCATGAGAAGTAAGAGGCAGTCTACAGAGGTTTCCTGGGCAGAGAGATATTGGGCCACATTTTTCATGCTCCTCCATATTAAGGGGTAGGAGACCTCTTTAAAAAGAGGTCATTTAAAAAGACTCCCCCAAAAAAGAAATGGAATAGTATTTCTGACCCTTACTCCTGGGGAATTGACCTCTTGGGGGCTTTGCTTCTTCCTCGGACGTGGGCCCTGACACAACAAGCCTCCTGCAGTCCAGCTGTGGCTGACCTTCCCAAGGGACCACAGCCCAGCAGAGGCTTCCTGTCTCAACACTGTCAAGTCTGCAATCTATCCCTTCCTCTTACACACGTACCATGTGAGACCCCAGAGAGAGGACGGTGTGTGTCTTATTTATCATTTGATTCATTGATAGCTTAGCTAGCAGAGACAAGATAATTGGCAGAATTCCAACTTAGGGAAACTAGGCAGAACATTTCCACAGCTCACCTCCAACCACACATTGTATTATTTATTTTTAAGGAAAACAAAAAGTGGAATTCCATGGGCACAATAGCAAGGGGCCCTCTACGATCTTGAAAAGAACCTTGCTTTCTAACATTTAACTGAATCGACATTTAGTGGATCAGAACACAGACCTGTAAAGCTGCCTTTAAGAGAGAGAACACCAGAAGGTCCAAGCCTGCCGAGTTTTACTTGAATCTACGGAGAGCTATTGCCTTCTCTCAGGAAGGAATGTACCTATCAGGGGAACATCTGATCAACCAAAGCAGCATAGGGAAGGGAGAGTCAGAGAGGCAAATACGGGCAGTGCCTGCCCAGCACTGGCCTAGGGAGGGAGGCTCCGTCAGGCCAGTTCAGAAGTCAGACCTCCTTCATTCTTGTGGACAAGGACAACTCAGCCTGCCAGAGCCTAGTGCCACAACACAGCTGAATTGCACAACTCAATCTCCACACTTGGTAGTCTATTAATAATTTGGTGTCCCCTGTGGCATGACTACAAAGAGAATGTGCTAGAAATTCCACTAAAAGTAAATACCAGGAGACCAAGGCCTGTGTCTGCCTTGTTCACCACAGTTGCCCCAGCTCCTAGGTGCTCCATATTTATTGAAAGACTAATTGCATTAGTGGTTAGGCCAACACAAGTAACCGGTTCAACTGGCAGGTTTATTCTCCTTAGAAGTTTTCTTCTTTAAAAATTGCCTCCAAGCATTGATGTTGAGTCTGCTTTCTTCTCCTAGAATCCCCTCTCACCTCTCCCCTCTTAACCAAATCCTACTTGTTGTTTTGAGGCCTGGTTCAAAGTCTGTAGCAAGCCACAAATTCCTCTCCTTCACCTGAACTTCCAGAATTACTCGGGCCATAATTATTTGCTGAGAATGGGCCAAAGGAAGGGGTAGCATTTGGCACTGGACAGGCAGAAATAGGGAGTGGAGGGAGCAGGAGGGACATTCTGGAAGGCACAGCATCTCCTCAGAGCAGAGAAGAAGCCGTGGTGTGGCTCTAGGAAGAGGGTGTGAGAGAGGGAAGGTGGTGGGAAATAATGGCAGCTCCATCCTTCCAGTTCCTCAGGGCATCCTTGTGACGTCAGTGTTGTCCCTGACTCCTTCCTCTTTCTCCAAGACCCCACATCTGAGCCATCAGCAGTCCTGTGTGCTTGACTTTCAAACCATACCCTGACTCTGACGCCTCTGCCCCTGGCCGCCATCACTGTATTTTCAACAGTAGCCAAAGGGATCATGTCACTCCTCTGCTCAAACCAGGCGATGGCTTCCCACCTCACACAAAGTAAGAGCCAGTCTTTCCAGGGGCCTAAAAGGCCCTGTACTCCTCTTGTCCCCCATGACCTCTGCCCCCACTCTACTCCCCCCACTCCGTCCATTCCTGGCACCCTAGCCTTCTGGCTGTTCCTCAGACACTCCAGGCACATTCCCACTTCAGGGCCTTTGCTCTAGCCGTTCCCTCTACCTGGAATGTTCTTCCCCAAAATATCAGCACAGCTGGCCTCTTACCGCTTTTGGCTCTTTTCTCAAATGCTACCCTCTTCATGAGGCCCTCCCTGGCTACCCGATTTAAGACTGTGAACCCTGCTCTGGCCCACTCTGCCCCATCCTGGTACTGTCACCATCTAACATACAATGTATTTTACCATCATCCACACCCCAAATGTAAGCACCACGAGGGCAGGACTTTGTCTTACTCACCACTTTACCCCCAGTGTCCTGGGCCTGGCATGTGTTTACTGGGTCAAAGGTCAACAAGGTAGACAGGGAGGGGCCAGATCAAAATAGGGGGTGGGGCCTGCTCTGAGCTGGGCTTTAGGGCAACTGAGAGGAGGGGCCAGTCGGCCAGATAGGAGGTGATACACTTGGCTGGCCTGGGGGAGGAGCCCCAGATCTGGGTCAAAGCAGTGGGGTTGGACAGTAGGAGGGATTGGTGTCCATCACCATCAAACCATCCCTCCCTTCCTGTGGACCACGCAGGTCTCAGGAATCCATCTGCAGAAACAAAAGCACCAGCAGGAAGGCTCGATGTACAAGAATGCTTAATGCAGCGTTGGTTAAAGTAGTAAAACGAAAATGGAAACAGCCTGAATCTTCGAAACTAGGAGACTAGTTGAATAAAGAATGCATCCATCCTAAGAACTAGTATACAGCTATAAAAAATAAGTTATACATAAAGAGAGTGATCTGGAAGGATGTCCATGATAAATTGTCATGTGAAGAGTCTATTATTGAATATAATTCAGTATGACCCAGTGTTTGAAAACGAATCTCATATATGCACATCTATCCTTGAACACGTTCGTATACTCATCAAAAAGTAGGAAATAGACCACCAAATTGTTACCACTGCCCATTGTAGAGAGGGGACTGGAGGGGAGAAGGGAAGACTCTTCTGTACTGTTTGACTTGTTATAACAGGCAGGGATCACTTTTATAAAAAAAAAAAAAAAAAAAAAAAGGGCAGCCCCGTGGCCAAATGGTTAAGTTCATGTGCTCTGCTTCAGTGGCCCAGGGTGTCGCTGGTTCTGATCCCAGGCACGGACATGGCACCGCTCATCAAGCCATGCTGAGGAGGTGTCCCACATGGCACAACCAGAAGGACCCACAACTAGAATATACAACTATGTACTGGGGAGCTTTGGGGAGAAGAAGGAAAAAAAAGCCAGGTGGACCCCCACCCGGACCCTTCCTTCCCCAGGAGGAGACCCTCTGCCCCTACAGTGCAGCCCAACGTCCAGCCAGAGGGTCGTGCCCTCCAAGCAGCCAGCCCCAGCCATGTACCTGCCTCCCATCCTGGCAGCCCGGTCCCGCCTCCGGCCAGCCAGCATGTGCCAAGCCAACGGGGCCTACAGCCGGGAGCAGTTCAAGCCTCAAGCCCCCCGTAAGTGACAGGCCTTGATAAGAGCCCCTCCTCTACCTCCTTCGGGGAGGGGGACAGGGAGGGGAGATAGTCAGGTGGGCAGGTGCTTAATCAAATTCTCACGCTGTTTATAGAAATGCTCTTGAGCTTTAGCACATGTTAGCTGGGGGGCATTCAGGGAGCAGGGGAAACCATTAGGTGGTCCTTGTAAAAAATTTTTCCAGAACTCTCTGGATTAGCTGGATTCTGTCAATCTCTGAGGAATCTTTGGCTGCAGGTTTCACGGCCACTGCTCTCAAGCTCAAAGGGGCCTGGAATCCGGGGCTCCTCTGCACCGCAGCCTACTTCACTGAGCCATTTGTCCCCCTTCCTACTGGGCACCTGACATAACTCTTGGCCCAGACCCTCCTACATCTGCACGCACGCTCTGTGCACAGGCTGCCACTAGGGTGATCACTGAGTTTCCTCAGCCTTGCTCTGCACCAAAGCAGTATGTGGATTTTGACCAAGTTCTCTTCATGGTTCATTCAACCCCTTCCTTCCCCTTCCCGCCTATCTTAACGTGACAAGCTCAGGATCACCCAGGGTAGATGGTTCCGGGGTTTGCAGAAGCCCCATCCACGTTACCCAGGTACCTGGAGCAGGTGTGCCCGCTTGGGGACACACCATAAACAGGGGTGCCCTTCACACCTTAACTAGGCCATTTTTGGGCCTTACAGGAGATCTGGAGAAGGAGAAGCGAAGACTCCAGAATATCTTAGCTACTGGGAAGAACCCAGAGGAACAGAAAAGAAAGCCCCCTCCTGTGCAACAGGAGGGCCCAGCCCCTGAGGTGGACCGGTTTGAAGAACGTAAGCCACTGATGGGCCACTTACGCTGGAGAGCGAGTGTGTGTGGAGGGGACCCAGAATCGGGGGAAGGGGGTAATCCTTGAGGGCCAAGTCAGAAACACTGTCTGACTGCAGACCCACCTCCTCTCTCGAAGAGGGGCAACCCGCCCCCTCCACAGGAGCCCACGGCCCCCACTGCCCTGTACACTGATGGCCCTTCTCCCCACCCAGTGGTGAAGGAAATCCAGGAGAGGAAAGAATTCCTGGCCGACATGGAGGCGCTGGGACAGGGCAGACAGTACCGAGGGGTCATCCTTGCCGAAATCTCCCAGGTAGGAGAAGCAACAGAGGGTGAGGCAGAGGGGAGCCGGCTATGTATGAGGGAGGGGAGGTGTCCACCATGAGTGTGGAGCACAAGACGTGAGTGGAAACAGAGGGGCCACTGTGGCCGAGGTTTCCAGAGTCCAGCTCTAGCCTCACATCTGTGTGGCTCCTAGAGTTCCTACCCTGACAGCCAGCTTTCCCTGATGCCCTATTTGCAGAAACTACGGGAAATGGAAGACATTGACCACAAGAGAAGTGAGGAACTTAGGAAGGCTCTCGCCCCGGCTTAATCTGTCTCCAGAAATGGAGGTGGGGTAGCCCACTCCCTTGCCAAGCAGGGTCATCCCCAGGTCAGCCCACCCACTCTGGCCTTCAGCCACGTCAAATGGTCGCAGCGCCCTGGCGGAGGGTACCCTGGGCATACACAGTGCCCTAGAAGATGGACCACATCTCAGAAAATGAGCTGATTCTCCTCGAGACTCTGCCCAGGGAGCCCGGGTCAGCTGAGCCTCTGAGACCCACAGTCATACACACACACACGACTTTGAGACTTTTCTCGGGGAAAGAGCCCACCCACAGTGAAACAAGGCCCACATCTCAGCATCTTGGGCATTTGTCTAACGGCATCCAGTGGGCTCTCTGCCGACCACCTCCACCCACCGTGTCCTGCACTGTAGTTTTCTGAACTCAGGAATGAGTGTGATTTCTTTCTTCCTACCTGTCTTAAGATCTGCTTCTTTAACCTCATACAGCCTTGGGCAAACGTTTAACCGCTATGATTAATTAGCCAATAAAACACATTTAACGTATATCATTACACACTGTTTTGTTTTCAGAGGGATAAGCCTTATTTGTTCAAGGAGTTAGAATTTTTCAAGCACAGATGGTTTCTAGCTGTTTGTGTATTTCAAGTAGAAATGGGAACGAACACTTCTGGGGAGCCCCATGGTAGGGCAGTGTGGTAGGTGCTGGATGTCACTCTGAGTTAATTCTCAGTAAACCCCTGTGATGGTTGGTTACCCATATGAAAAATGGAGCTTACCAAGATACTATAACCAAGGTCATTGAACTAGCAAGTAGCCTACTCAGGATTAAAGTGGCCTTTACGTCTTCCCACTAACCCCACGGCCCAGAGAGAGAAACACGCTGGAGGGATCCAGACGGAAAGAGCCTGGCTTTGGAGTTCCGGTCCTGGCCGGTGCTCTGTGTGCTTGGGCAACACCAGCCTCGGCTCCGACCGCTCGTCCGAGGCCCTGCCTTAAAGGGCTGCTGAGAAGACACATGAGCACAAGAGCAGCCCCCGGGGCCCGGCAGACAGTACACGGCAGTCCCCACATCTTCTGACAACCACGAGCCCTGTGTTCTCTGGTATTCTGTTATTTTTCCGTCCCCATAAATCAAAATATTTTGGAAGTTTTCAACAGTCTCTCCCACCTGGAGGGATTCATATAATCCTACAGGCCACATGACGAGTTTTGGTTTGCAGAATAAACACAGCCCTGCAGCCTCACACAGATAAGCAGAGAGGGTCAGATCAGGGCCAGCTCAGGAACATTCCATTGGAAGCCTGTGTCCACACCTGCCAGAACCTGAGGGCAGAGGGTGCCGCATGACCAGGACAGCCGTCCTCCACCTCAAAGGCCCAAGCACGTGGCCCCAGGGCAGCAAACTGGAGAACCCGGGACAAATTCAGCCCGTGACAACACTGCCTACCCTCGGTTTAAATTCAGACTAGTTGCCAACGTTTACAAATCACACACACACACAATCTGGATTTCTAGCTTCTTTTGAAAAATGGAAAGATCTGGCCACATGGGGCCCACATTCCCACAGGCTACAGTTGACTTAAGTGAGGAAGAACCTCCCCCTCTAGTTGTGGCAGACACCCCAGTCCACACCACCCATCTCCTGACACCGAGACAGCCTAAAGGAGCCAGCCCTCAGGTTACACGCAGCCCAGTTCATATGGGTTACCTGCCGGGCCCCTGAAAGGCCCTGGAGTTGGTGACCCCAGTCCCAGATCAACAGGCACTGTTGGAAGGAGACTGACTGCCAGGGGCTACACAGGTGTGCGAGCCACCTCTCCCTGCAGAGGAAGGGGGTCCTGCCCGGTGGCAGGCAGTGAGGCCAAGGCCCCTGTTGGTGGACAGCCCTACATGGCCCTCCTGGGCAAGCAGAGATGCCCAGCCACAAGGGGCGGTGGAGGCAGGGAAGAAGGCAGACCCGGCCAGGGAAAAGCACCCCCAGGCTGCCTGGCTCTGGCAGCTGAGGTTGTCTCCATTTATTGTCGGTGAGGAAAACCCTGGCGAGTCAATCCAGTGCGATCTCTCCCAGAGGAGTGCTAAGGGAAGGGGCCCTGGAGGCCCCCAGAAATAGCTTATAGCAACAGTGCTTTGACCAAGAGCTGCTGGACACGGTCCCCGGGGGAAGGCGGTGTCCCCTCGGCTCCTCCTCTCCCACAGCCATCCCAGTGGGGGAACGGCCATCAGTCCTTTGGTGGCAGGTGGCAACAAGTGGGGAGAGAACAGGAGAGAACAGACAACAGGCAGGCGGGTGGGTGTGAGGTGACAATGGACCCACCATCCCTGAGCCCTGGGGTAGGGGGACACAACTAGCCTAAATGAGGGGCCAGACTACAGTGTGTTAAAGAGCCAGGATTAGCACCTACGTGAGCATCAGGAACCAGAGCTGCAGCCGGGGCCTGCCTCCCAGAGGCCCCCGCCCACCCAGCACAGCCGCCACAGCCCCGTGTCCTGGGAAGTGAGGTTTTGTTCCTATAGAACGAGGGGAGATGAAGGAAGCACCTCCCTGAACTTGGAGGGACGGGGGAAGGATCTGTCCGCCAGGCCTGTTCGTGTCTGAGGACACAGTGACTAACTCAAACTTAATTAGAGGCTTCATAAATAGAGCTCCTGAGTGAGGAGAAAGATCCAGGGCCGCCTGCCCTGGAAAGGAAGGCAGGGCCTCAGAGGCAGGACTCGGGCAGCAAGAAGCCAGTGCGACCCAGCCCTGTGTGCTGGCCTGCCAAGGGGGAGGCCGGGCCAGAGGCCGACCGCGGGCAGACCTCGTGGGTGGGAGGACCTTGGGGTCAGAACTTTGACAGCTAAGAGTCCCAGCTGGATGTGGGGGAGGGAAGAGGTACCAGGGAGCTGCCCATCACAGCAGGGGCTGGGCGGGATGTGGGCAGCTGCGCTCGGCCACTCCCGCTCCCTGCATCCAGGACCCTACTTGCTCCTTGGGTCAGTCACAGCATCTGGAGTCATCAAAACCAGGCTGGGCAGGGCTGAGCCTCAGCTGCCTGCGGCTCAGAGAAGAGGGAAGAAAACTCTTTGGCCCAGAACAGCCAGAGGACCCTGAGGAGGGGGAGGCCATCACCCAGAGGCTCCCTCCCCATAAGTCATCTTTCCTCTCGACTGATCCTGAAGGGGAACAGGGTGCCCCCCAGCGGAGCACAGCCCGGGAGCCGAGCCAGGAGAGGTGGAGGTCCCCAGCTGGCGGCCCTCACTGTTAGCTCTTGTCCCCGGGGGACTTGCTCTTGGTATCACGCTTGTTTCCTAGCAGCTTCAGCACCTTCATGGTCTTGAACTTCCCCTTCTTCTTGCCCTCAGGCTCAGCCTCCTTCTGGAACTCTGCAGAGGAGAAAGGGGAGCCCATCAGGGCAGGCCACAGGGAGGGATGCAGGCCTGCCCTGCTCCACCCCCTCCTCGTGTGGAACCTCGGGCAGGTCCCTGCACCTTTGCGAGCCTCTGGTTCTTGCCTACAGAATGGGAACCACAGCCCTCTCCCACTGCTCTGGCAAGGACCCAGAGCTACACGCATTTCCCATTTTGGGAAACAATCTGGAAACTGTGAAGCATGGTATAAATTTCCCTTTATAAGGCTCCATTCTGCTTGGCTGGTGCTCACAGTTCCGTGGGTCACAACACAAACACTGACTGTCAGAGCTAGAAGAAATCCCAGAAATCATCTGTCCTGGCCCCCAATTTTACAGAGAAGGAAACCGTGGGTTTTGAAATGGACTAACCCCAACTGAGCTCTTTGGAGGGGCCAGGCCCTGGGCTAAGTGCTTCATACACATTATGCCAGCAGTCCTTACTCAGCACACGCCTGAGGGGGGTGCCTCCATCGCCCCCGTTCTGCAGACAAGGACAGTGAGGCCTAGAGGGTGACGTGGCTAGCTCAAAGTCACCCAGCTAGTAAGCGCCAGAGCCAGGGCTGGAATCCCAGCGTCTGACTGGAGTCCAGACTTAACCACAAAGCCACAGAGTGAGTCACTGGGGAAACCAAGATTAAGCTCAGGTCTCCTGACTTCCATCCAGTGCTCTTTGAACCATTCCAGGCACGATCTTGTTTCCCAGCAGGCACTGCTGTTTGAGCCCACAGACCCCTCCAAGACGAACTGCAGATCCCAAGGAGGAACGCAGAGCCCAAGGGAAAGCACACTGGGAGAGAGCTCACCACGCACCACCGTCCTCCCTGTGGCACCAGGGCATCCCGCACCCACCCTCCCTGCCCAGACCATGGCCTTCCCAGCCAAAGGCTGTGCCACGCACACACGGCCTTCCCAGCAAAACAGAGGCTGGGAGTTCGCACACACCATCCCTGTGGCGCCCACTCCAACCCTCTGTTCAACCTGCCCTGGCCCTCCAGGAGTTCAAGTGGACCAGAGCCCCAGGAGCGGCCTCACCTTTCCTCCTGATCATGGCTTCCAACATCTTATCTTCCTCTTCCTCCCTGAAACGAAAAGGGAAGCTGAGTGTCCCGCAGGAAGAAGGACCAGATAATCTCTCAGTCCCTCCAGCCTCTGAGTCCACCCAGGGCTGAGCAAGGGTGCGCTGGGGTCGCTGGCAGTGACGGCAGGGCTGGCCTCGTCTGCTGTGGGCCCCTCCCCCAAGGACCCCCAGGGGAGTCCCTCCCCAGCCATCTCACCTCTGCCGGTCCTCGTCCAGGCAGTTGACGATGGCGTTGCGCTGCTCGATGAGGGTCACAAGCTCCTGCATCAGCACCTTCTCCCGGCCCCGGTCCTCCTCTGTCCAGTCCTTTTCTGCCCAAGGAGAAGGCTGGGAGTGTGAGCGGTGGGGAAACGCTCCTGTCTTCCCAGGAAGCCAGGAGCCAACACCTGAGTGCTAAGGGGGCCGCAGGCCAGCCCCACGCTAAATCCTATGAGGACAGGAAGGAGGAGCCCAGACGGGTGGGGATCACAGGCTTTTGGAGAAATGAAGGTTGTTATAGAGGAGACCAGGGATACTAGGCTGCCTACCAAAAAACCCTTCAAGGGGCCTTGGAAGGACCAGCACAACACGCATTCTGAGAACAGAGACCAGCGTGGGCCAAAGGGCTTCCTGCTTCTGTTCATTCACTCGTTCAACCAATATTCACTGGTGGGTTTGGAGCGGGCAGGATCTGCTGGGCCTGCTGGGAGCCTCCAAAGGCGGGCTGGCGGAGCAGGCGGGTGAACAGGGACCCCAGGTCCTCAGGCAGAAGTAACACGACGGAAGTGGCATACTGGGGCATTCACCTAATGCCATGAAGGAGGGCAGACTAGAGGGTACCCTGGGGGCAGGGAGCCCGGCCAGGAGGTGTCCCTGACATCTCATACACCTGCTGCCCCTCCAGCCTCCTCTCAAGAACCCGAGCCTTCCCCCAGGACCACTCTCTGACCCCACTCCCACCCAGCCCACAGGCCCCTGGGGGATGGATGCCCATACTTGGCCTTCGCCTTACAGCATCTGCCACCACAGGCCTCCCCATCTCAAAATAAACATCCTGAGGCCCCTCAGCTGTGCCCCAAGCCCCTCTGCCTCACCCT